TTATTTCCAATAGAGTACTAAATAGATAAACATATTTACGGCGGAGTCTCATATGGATAAATTTCTTCAGGAAGCTTATTTACAATGGAGTAAATGAACATCCATAATATAATATATTTATAACACCCCCCTTGGATGTTCATTAAAAGATAATGTGCCTCATTAAAACCTTACTAGGAAAAACCACGTGAGAAAAAATCCTAGTGAAGGAAAAAGAGTACACATATTTAGTAATACGCATTACTAGGTGCCTCATTAAAAATCTTATAAGGAAAACCCCATGGAAAAAAATCTTAGTAAGGGAAAAATAGTGCATCGAGTATTTTAANAACATAAACAGCAAGTGTAACAAATTTTGATGACATTTTCTTTATAAAAATACATGGACAAATAGCATAATTTATGTAACTTTCTTTCAACAAATATTTATTGAGGCGATTATACCACACACGCACAAATTGCTTTAAACCATACAAAGATCTTTATAATTTGATCGAGTACATTTCTCAAGACTTTGAATTATATGCTTCGGGCATTTTCAATCCTTCAAGGATCTTCATATAGATTTAGCCAAATAAGTCATATAGGTTAAAACTTGTATCTAAATGGTATGACATCTTCAAGTGTCTGGACTGCTGGTCTGATCCTCACAATCTTTTATAATATTGTGCATTGTATTGTATCAAATATATCGTCGACGATCATTTTGTGTCAGTTCCGAAGCGACATAACTTGTGGAGATCTCATCACTTTCTTTATTTTCAGGTACCTGAACTTTTTCGGGAGTTTCATGAAATGTTATGTCGTGGGCTCTTCTAGAGCTTATTTCCTCCTCATTATGATCATTTTGATCATTAGCTCCTACTATTTTTCAAGGATTGTTACCTTTGGAACCGATTGGTCTACCACGCTTCATGCGTACAGTAAACTCTATCCTTCAGGGACTTTAATTCTAATAGGAGCATTTGTAGCTGAAATATGATATTTAATTTTGTATCAGCAAATGCTTCTGGCATTCGACTTGAATTATCTTCTAAGTGAGGATCATATTAATGATAATTCGATTCATATAGCATATTTTTCAACTGTTTATTTCATCCCCCAAATGTTAGAAAAACTAACATATCCCAATCATCTTTGGGAAACATATCTTTGTGTATTATGGTAGAGAAATTAATCATACACCACACAACAAAAGATAGTAAACATATTTGGTTTCCGATCCTAAACCAATTGTGAAGGGAGGACTAATCATATATTATTGATCTGATGCATACAAGTGATTCTATATGCAATTTAGAAAACCTTAGACCAACACATGAAGCTTTGTTCTCATAAGCAATGGTTTAGCCATTAATAGGAGGTATTCAATGCTAAACCAGCTTGGATATAAACCAGCATTATCAAGATGAACTGTCTTGATTTCATAATCTGAAAATTATGCTCTTAATCGAGAAAAGCAATTCCAAATGCCAAACTGCAGGTTGACAATAATTACACATGTAACCATCTCATATATGCACCTATAAGTGGTTCACAAGATAGGTGAACGGGCCCATATTCACCTTTTATATATTTTAGAATCAGGGGTCTTAGTCCCAACTTTAGCTGGTATAACCAATTCATTATGAGAGCAAACAACACATGAGAATTTCTGAAGAATCTTCTAGTTCTTTAGTATATGCTTATCTGAATTCTCAAATAGCTCATTTAAAAATGGCAAATGAAAACTTCAAGTTTATCATGTCATGTGCTATCTCTTAGTAAACTTTTGGTTTACTATGGCATAAACTTTTCCTTTAGTAAACTTCTGGTTTACTGTGACACATGATATAGTACAAATTAAAGAATAAGACGGGTAACTTCTCACATACATATTATTTTACCCCCTATGATTGTGGAAACATGGAGATTATCAATCTTCCAATCATTTGTAGTCTCAATATGATAGCCATTTGTATTAGTAAACTTCAGGTTTACTACAACATATGTTTTGACCATAATCATATAATATGAATGACATATTTGTATATAAGCTCTTCGAGGGCCTTCATTTATTATCCACAATCTAATATTTATCGGGCACTACTGGTGTCATGTATCCTTTAGGCAAACAGTTAACTCTTCAGGAGTTGTTGATACATTTTATACTATCAAATATTTCTCATACACTTCTGGTATCATGAGAGAAAATCACAATCAAATAAACAA